CCACAGCTACATCCCTTCACCTCCTTTCAACCTTTCTGCTCACCCTTGCTTCTTCCTACTGCACACACAGTCTGCCCATCCTTCACTCCTGGCTGCTTCAAAATAACGAAAGCTGCTTTTACCTAGCATGCTTATCAATCAAATTCTGCCAAAGAGAATAAAAGGAAAAGGCACTTCTCTAACAATACAGCCAAATGGCCCTAATCTTAGAAAACTATTTTAACTAGGAAGGCTTGTTCTCTCTGTGCTAATCACTGTGGCTGCTGATTCACGCAGGAGAGGTGTGGGAAATGCTATAATGTTCCTTGAACTTGATTTTTAAGCTAGTGTAACCATGGAAATCCTCTTGAATCCCAAGAGTTCTACTAGGTGAGAATCTTGATCTCAGTATTAACATGCATAGAGATATGGTAATCTAATAGTAACCGAAAAGTTGATTTATTTATGCAAGGCTAACTATTTTCCCATTGGGATTATCCTTTAGGAGCATCAATTCCACACATTTGTGCTATCCTCACCCTTGATGGATGTGGTACAGCAGCAGCCATTCAATAGTCAGTTAACAACATGACACTGAGTTTTCATCCACTTCCAGAACGAGCAAAAATGACAAGTCCTTAATGTCTCACACCTCAAAACTACCTTCAATATGTAGAGTGAAATTGGGAACAACTCATCATCTACAAATTGCTATGCTGAGATCTAGTAGGAGAAAAGCACATATTTGACTCCTACTACACAACACTCAAGTAACTTGGGATAATCCTATAGTCCTTGGGTCAGTCCTACAGATAGATGATTTCTTTAAGAATTCTGACATTTCATGTCGATTTGGTGATGAGGGGGACCACATTCTCCAAGAGAAAAAGGCACATGCACAATTAGTTCATGAATGTATGAACTAGTGGATTTATATAGTAGATGCATGAAAGATGCAACTCCATTTTGAGTTGCAAATGAAAAAAAAATGTGGTTCTCTCTTAAACTAAGGGGGAGTGAGTGCCACTGGAGGCAGAACAATAATGGTCTGATTTTTTTTCTGAGAAAAAATTGATTCCACATGTTTTTAAGCTAGTATTGTACTTTCTCTCCCAAGTGACACTTTGCCAAGGTTAATGTAATTTTGGAATTCTTTTTGATCCAAAAGATGTTAAAAGGATATCCCGTAGGATCTGACTGACATTCCAATACGCAAAATTTCTTATCACTCTGACTTCTTGTTCTTGTTGCTATTATTATCACTATTAAGAATAATACAGTTACAGAATTATTAGACTATAAAATATGAGAGGTGGCTTGACAGTCTCCTGGGAAAGAAAAGAATCAAAATATTATTTCAATACAGTATAGATATACTTAAAGCAGTTGCCCATGCCCTAATAAATCATTGGGATAAGACAGAATTTCCAAAAACAGATTCCAATTATCACAATGTAGGCCATGATGAAGCATAGGAAAAACTTATTTCATCATTTCATCTCATTCACATGAAATTCAGCCTTTTTGAGAATATGAAGCACTCTGCAGAGGACATGGTATGCATGAAATCTAACTTCTCGCTGCAATGAGAGAGTCCATGTCTGTGGGATTTGGCAAACTTTGTAATGTTATATGCTTCAAGCCAAGAATTTGGAGACTTTCTCATAAGCATCTATCCTAAACTTAACAATTATTTTAAAGAAAATGTAGAATGCTTGTACTTTAAAGAAGTACCTAGCTTAATGATTAATTAGCGTGGAGGACACATTCAGAAATATCAAAGCCACTGTATCTTGGCTTTGGAGAGTAAGCCCAAAGAACTCAGTGGTATTTGTTTCAGAACAGGTAAAAATAGGTTGCTCTATGAGTCTGCCAGCATATAAAAACACATGCATTTTTTGTAAACTTTCCTGAGAAAGGAAAACTCTTCTGGAAAGGGCAAATGTATTACAATTCCTCTTTTGATTTTAAAACATATACACCATTGATGTACAAAAAGACAGCAAAGATCTGAATCCTAAATGGATAATCTTCAATAATATTAACCAACTACCCCATTCCAAGTGATATTGTCACAAGCAGATTACTCCTGGCAAACTGAGTGAGATCCTTTGCAGTATTTGCAGCTTTTCATACACAATTTGAGACGGCTGGAAAGGAACTTTCATGCCAAATGATTTCCTCTGAACCAGGAGCTTTAATAAATAACACTGCACAAAAGCAGACAACGACAGACACAGTAGGGCTGATGCTTGCTACGGCAGAGGTAACCTCATTTTAAACCATTCACAAAACAAAATTCACAATAAAACTAAAGAACCCTTTGTTCCTTTCTCTTCAGCCTCAGTACAGAAAACTGTCACCAGAAACTGATGCAGACAAAGATACAGTTAATAAAAGGCAAACATCCAAAACAACTTCAGGCCACACAAATAACTGTCTGAAAGGGTCAGTGGATATTTTTGATTGTGCTCTGAGTAGCTTTCTAGACAGACGCAATAAATCTTGCCAAACTGCTTTAGGAAATCTAAACTTGAGAGTAAATCCAGTGCAGTATGGCAAAGGAACTTTGGTCACATACTCCAAAAGTGCATCGTTTTCTTTGCTTCCATACATAGAAATAATAATATTCTTGATAAATTCAGAAAAGCTGGATTCCCACAAGGCTTACTACATTTTTCATCAGTTTTTACTTTCACTTCAAACTGGTTATACAATTAAATGGTATGAAAATTAGTGGTATCTATTTTATGACCAGGTTCTAGCTACTGATGAGAGTTAAAATGTAGACTATGTGAAAGCTGCAAAGGTTGACTGTGACAAGCCAAGCTACACAGCCATTGGGTAATTCCAGAAAGTATAGCCAGAAAAGCTCTCCAAGAGAGTTAGAGTTGCCAAGGGGACTATACCCAGCTCAGTCAGTGCGTTTATCTGACCAAGTCCAGGGAAGCCAAGGGGCTCAATTGAGCTGCATGGTATGCACAGTCTTGACACACTCCGTCACTCCACCACAGCTTATGTGACTGGCTCAAGAACTACCTGGAGATGTTACCAGAAAATTGGGATAATTTTTGCTCACAAATTCAAAACCCTTCTTAAAGGTCTATCCTACTTTGTTATTCTGGAGCTTCATTCCAGATTATGGTGCCATGGTAGATACACAGTTTAAAAACCTATAAGTATTTGTGCAAAATAGCTTTGAAAGGAGGGAAGGGAAATATTAGATCCAATGATCAATAGGTCTGTCTTCAACTCTGAGTGATCCTTGTGGGTGATCCTTATGATCATAGCCTTATCGAACTGAAAGATAATAATTACAAATCCCCACAGTAGATAATAATTACAAATTCCTACAGTAGATTAAAAATAAAGGAGGGGAACTACTGTATTACAACATGCCAAAATCCCATTTAACAGGGCTGTTGTAAGAAAATGTGATGATTGATGTTACCCAAAACAACCAAGAGATTCAGGTAAGTCATCAGGGCCATGCTCCCCTTTCTTGTTTCCAGTACAGGTCAGATACAAAGTCAATCAAGGATGAAGCCAGATGGAAATGAGTGCAGAAAATCCCTTTCATCCAAGCACTATTGAAGTTGATTGGTTACCATCTGTTTGATCACTTCACCCAAAAGAGAGTATTAGTCTTTTGGCAGAAAATGTCCAAACTGAAGAGTCTAGGGAGCATTTCTGAGGAAGGGATGCAGAAATTCACTTCTAAGGCTACTGCTATTAACATCCTATAAACAGGCATTCACATCTCACTTTCTGAGGTTTCAGCACCAACTTACACGATTAGTCCAGAAGACATTCTAGACAACTCTTCTCATATTCTGCAATGGCACCAGCAGAATGCAAGGGCAGGGGGAGCGGGTCCACTGAGAAAAGCAGCGTCGCAGTATTACAGTGCAAGCCACACCCCTTTTCACCATGCCTTGAAACGTGGAATGTACAGAAGTGGCAAGATCCTCTGGGCACCACTGAGAGGCACTAAGTCAGATGTTTTACTATTTAATTTGCTATTTGCATCAAGCAGACTTGATTTTAGAATTTGGGGACTGAATATTACAATGTATTCCCCAGAAAATATGCATTGTTTTAGGCATTTTGGTACAAAATCCATAAATGCAACTTTTTTGAGCTAAATTGTTTGGCCCAAGGATAACTGCACTGGGAACTGCAATTATTAGTCTGGGAGGAGCAATTTGGTTGATTGTAGACCATTTGAAATTTACAATCTTCCCTACATGCAATAAACCATTTCCTTTGCAAGCCAGATATTTTCATATCCAGAAAAGCAAAAAGTAGAAAACTTATCATGAACACGTATAGCACATATACAGTAATCAAACAGCCTAATATATATGAGCAATTTTCTCCAATTTTTTACTAACATAAACATTTCTGTGCACATTGAAAAGTACTAGTATTAAAATATAACACCATTTCAGTTCACATATTAGTATAAATTAGTTAAGTTGCAAATTAAAATGTGATCAGATAAAGATGATCGTTCACTTTAGTCCATGAAGTGCAGTATGTCACTTAAAATTATGATAGAAAATAATATTTCCTCTGGATCCCTCTGTCGAATTGTTAAACCAGTTTCAAGTATGTGTGGTCAAATTTGTCAAAACTCGACCATCTCTTTCATACACAAACATCTCTATAATCCAACAATCTAGATTATCTCCTTTTTAAAGTTATAATCTGTTAGACAATTTCAAAAAGTCATAACTTTTTTCTAAATTTTGCTTTAGAAAAATAATATCAGTACTAAAAATGCAGGACATCATACTCAACACAGGAAAAAATAATTATTAAAATTTAGCAAAAGAATGCAAAATTCCCTTTGTCCTTTACAGTTCCAGTCATGCAATCCATACATTAATATAATGCTACACAGAGATGATGAAAAAAACAAAAAACAAAACAAAACTCCCAGTTCTCAAAAAGTTTGAAATATAAAATGAAAATCATTGACAGGTTCCAGCCCATAAGTAACACCTGTAATAACTTACCTTGGCTATCTGAACACACCAGTTAAGCAAAACCTGGGAACCAATGTTATCCTTATGTTCATGCACGTAGTCTAGTAAGCAACCATGGGGCATCAGCTGAGTAACTAGCTGGATTGTGGGGCTCAAACAGACTCCTAGTAATCGAACCAGATGCGGATGGTCCATACTTGCCATTATAAGTGCTTCCTACAAGAAAAAGTAAAAATTAAAATTAAAGCTCAGTGTTCACATACAAAGGACATTCTGTGCTTCCAGTTAAGTACAGTACAGAATTGCTAAATAAGAAATTCAGGAAAGTCCATTTCCTCTCCTGTGAGCCAGGAGTCTTTTAAGATCTTCATCATACAGCACTGCTCAGTTTACTATCTGATAATAGGATCCATTCTGCTGATGCTAACCTGATTATGGAATATTGTTCCCAGAAATACTTGGCTGCCCTTATTTTAGTAGCTTTTATTCTCTTAATCATTTCATGGATGATTAATTTTATTTCTATTTCTTTGAGTTATATTGCTAATGTTTTTGTAATGTGATTTTTAATAGTTTATTCTTTTCACATTATTTAAGGATATGTGAATTAGTTTAAATCCAAAACTACCACTGTTGCATATCATTTCTTCCATCAATTTTCTTAGAATTTTTTAGAAGAAAATCTTCATGTGTACTTGTAGAAAACCTTGCTGAATAGACACTGTTTTAATGGAACTTTCTCAGAGAAAGCAGATTTCAGCAAAACTATTCCTTGTTTATTTGTTGAATGTATAAATCGCCTCAATCCTCCAACCAACTCTAAGCAGTGTATAGCATATTAACACAATAAAGCAAGTAATAAACAACAATATATTACTATATTGGGGAAGGAACCATCAAGAATAAGGAACAAAATCCCAATATTAGTACAAGGTCACAAATCACCCTGCCCCAGTGCTTGCTGAAACAACTACATTTTAAGGACTTTCCTAAATGATTTGGGAGTGGGTGGAGGTGGGCTATCTGAGAGGGCAAGAATGGCCACAGAAAAGTAATCTCTCCAAGGTCCCAGAAGAAGCAGCTTTCAGTACTATTCATGTTTTTATTCGCTTGCAAAAAACACATTTGACAAGAAATCAAAATGTACAAACTCCTAGATACAACCCAGTTTAAAAGCACAATTCAGATGCTTTAGTATTTTGGTAAGTCACCTAATCTTCTTTTAAAGAACTACCTCTATGGGAATTTTTCTTCCTGCTTGCAGGAGAAAGGACTATGTGCAATATTAATTGGTTTCCCATAACATCTTAATTCAACTTTACTGAATTTATAGAAATTTTCTCATCTATTATTGTTCCTTCACCTCCAAGGCACAGATATTGTCTAGCATGATATTCTGCATTTTGGCATCTAGCTCTTGATAACAACTCTGGTTCCTCATGTCTCATGAACTGCAGGCCACTATCTTGCGGTACGGGTATAGCAGCATGGAAATGTTACAAATTGGCACTAGGATCCACTGATTAACAGGTTGTGTGAATATTCAGTTTTAAGATTTGATTCAAAGGGTTAATATCTGTATCTGTATCAAAACGAAACCAATCTGGCTGCACAAAAAGCTTAGTGAAGATTTTAAAAGGACACATACAGGAAATGGACAAAAATACAGATAGATAGCCCAGGACTGTACAGATGATGTCAGGAAAGTAAATGCTTACAATTAGCTGAGATCAGCAAAGGATAGTAAAAGTAACAAAAAGGGCATCTTTAGGTGTGTTCAAAATAAAAGGAGAAAACAATTATACAAGCTGCTAATGAAGATGGCAAAATGGTAGTAGATATCAAATAAAAGTCAGAGCTACCCAACTCTTACTTTAGTTCAGTCTTTTCTAACAAAAACCATGGGTTAAGAGAAAAGTGTGAAGAGCAGAATGGGAGAGCAGGACTTCCTATTTTGAGACTTTTAAACTACCTCCTTACTTAATATATCTTGATTTCAACAAAGCATTTGACAAGGTACTCTACAGCATGCTGCTTAGCTAGTGTGTGCTAGATGGCATAATAATTAAATAAATATATAGCCAGGTTGAAATTTGTACTGAAAGAGTGCTTATCAGATTGAGAAAGAGATCAAGTGGGTGCCACAAGACTCAGTCCTGGGCCATCTGTTTTTCAATATTTTCATTAATGATTGGGAAGAAGTGGTAGAAGAAATGCTCACCAAAGCTGTATGTGATATAATATTCAGTTAGGAAAAAAAAAATCAATACACAGGTGTAGGATGGGAAATACCTGGCTTGAAAAAGAAGAAAAATTATTGGAATAGTGGTTGATTATGAATCCAGTATCCAGTCTGATATTACTACAAAAAAGGCAAATTTAATTCTAGGTTACATCAGCCAAAGTATAATTTTCAAATTACAGGAAGTAATCATTTATTGTCATTTTACCTGGTCAGACCCTACCTCAAGAATGTTATCCTACTGTGATGAAAGGGTTGAAATTTACATTGTATTATAATGTAAAATTTATAAAACAACATTTTATAAAAAAGAGAAATTTTATAAAATTATGCATCAATGGTATCTGTCACCAGAAAGATTGTCAAAAATGTACAAAGGGACTTCAAATATATGTTGTAAATTTGAACAACAAGAAGGGACTTTTTATCCTCTTTGGTGGAGATGTAAAAAAGCTAAAAAATTTGAACTCAAATATGTCAGCTTCAGCCTAGGAAGCACATACTGCAGCGCAGAGCCATTGGTCAGTTTCACCGCCTCAGGCAATAGGGCAAGGAAACAATGTAACTGCAAGTTAACTGCCGTCAGGGGGTGGGCAGTTAACTCGCAGCAGGGAGCCAATCAGAAGTGGCAACACTGGAGCACAGCCGGCTCCCCAGGCGCCCCGGGCAACTCCGCCTTTCCATTAACACGG